TTTTTAAACAATGGTTGTGTTATTAAGACTCTTGGCAGAAAGATCAAGGAGCAGGAGGAGGATGGGGAGGGTTTTGTGTGTGGTCCAGTCAGATTTGCAAGCCTGTTGTGGAGGATGTAGTGGAATTTTCTATAGGATGGGAGTTTTCTTTTAAAAACATAGGACATAAAGTTCTCAAAGATTTACTGAGAGTATTTTCACTGCTGTTTTACAAATATGAATTTAATTCAGTTTCTCTGATCAAAACAAGGTTCTGGATATGGGAACAAAATTGGAGTCTGAAACATTATGACTAATTTATTCAGTCAGCTTTATCCCTAGTTTTACCTTAATAGATGAAGTTAAGAAATCAATAAACTTCTTAAATTTTTTTTAATAACATGCTTACTAGTTTGAGTTTTTTTAATTTATAAAAAAGAAAGAATGCATTAAAAAAAATTAACACTCAGAATTGTTGAGATGGCATGTTGGCTGTGGGGAGGCATAAGGGGATTTTGAGGGTATACATGAGATGGTCCTAAAAGAGGGCATGGAGACAGGGTTTGACATGTTAGTGTCCAAAATGGGCTCCTCCTGAGCATCTGACTGAAAGTGATACCAGGATTGATCAAGGTCGATGATACATCAATTCTTTTATCAAAAAGAGCAAGCTGAGAGAATGAGACCTGGTTTCTGTGTCTGCCTCTCCCAGCTGTGATCTCTGACAAGCTTCCATCCACACCCTCATCTGGAAGCACATGTGATGCCAGTCTGCCTCCTGATGCCCAAGTGAGCAAAACCAGCAGTGAATCAGGGAAGGGGGAAGAAGCAAACTTGTGATCTTTTGTCCTTTGTGCCTCTGTAGGTCTGATCTGGCATGCCAGGAACATGGGACTAAAACTGCTGCAATTCAGCTGTCTTGCTTAATATCTCTTATTAAAATAGAAACCCAAGTCAACACAATAAAAAGTGCTTATGACTTTCTTCCCTGAACACTTGATATAAGTTTTTATTCAGATTTTCACATTAGTCTGTTATAAAATATAAAAGACTGTAAAATATATAAGACTGTAATATAAAAGACTAGTAAAAGCTGTTTTTTGGAAACTTGCCATTTTATCTTGTGACTGTGTCTTTTATAGAATAGTGGCAAAAGAGGAAGCTGTATCCTGTCTTGTACATTTTGCAATAGTGGGGAAAGCATTTCTGACTGTGCTGTAATATGTAAATTAGCATAGCTTTATCCAAAACCTGAGCAAGTTAAGAAACTATGTTTTTCCACATGATATGTGCTTATTAAAGCAAAGTATTTTATTTCTTCCTGGTAAACAGTCCTTATTAATTAAAAAAATGTGAGAAGGCAAAAATAATTGGAAGTAATTGTTATGATTTTTGTTTAACAAATGTGGCTTGTAGGAGGAAATTTATGTGGGTTTGGAAAGAACAAAAAAGAAGAGATTTTTGAAATCCATTCTCACAAAACACTATTATTACAAGGCTTGCTGGTACCTCAGCCTTGCAGGCAATAATTTGGAAGTAAGTTTATGGCATCAGCTTTTTTTTCCAAGGATGCAGGTGATGTCCCTGTTGTTGGTGTGACTCACATGCTGCTGAGCTCAGAGGTGTGTGGGAGTGCTGATGTTCTCCTTTGGTCACCTTGTGCACTTAGCCCTGTGTGTGAGGACCAAACACAGCTTGTCTCAGCACCCCAGGGCAGATTTCAGCAGGTGCTGCCAGTTTGGTGTTCTGGGAATTCTCAAACCCAGTGGCTGCTTTGAAAGGTAGGAGTTCAAACAACCAGGGTGTTGTGCTTCGTTTGTGATCAGAAGGATGGGAGCCAGCTCCTGTGGGCCTCTTGTGACAGGAGAGGGGTGATGGTTCTAAACTGAACGAGGGTTCATTTAGATCAGATGTGAAATAAACAGGGCCAGGAGACTTCTTCTCCTTTTTAATGCCTTTATTAAAAGTGATCAGCTCAGGATTGGGCGGCCCGATGGGTCTGCAGCATCCGTCGTCTCTCAGGGCGCCTCAGAGGAGGAGGACAAGCACAGCTCTGTCCACCAGGGGCAGAGCTGGGGAACCACGTCCTCGTGGGAGCCTTTAGGCCGTGGTGTTCCCGTCGGATGTTGATTTTGCTGGCTGTCTTAGCAGGCCCTCATCTCTGGGGACGATTCCTATGTCAGGGCGAGAGGGGCTCCGAAGGTGTTCAGCATCTCTGCAGGCCCAGCACTCGGCTCCTCACGTCCAGACATCACTCCAGTCTCTCAACTCTCATTTGGCTCGTTGTTTTTGGGGTTTTCTCAGTACATTCGGAGCGGGGAACCCACACAGCATGCAGGTCCTGGAGTCACTTTGCATAACCCCCCACCTCCAGGTCTCTTCTCCTCGCTGTTCGGGAAGGTCTCCACCCGTTACTGTCTCCATTACCTCGCCCCAGCCAGGGCTTTTACTGATACAAAAACAACCACTGACGACAACGACCCGTAATTACCATAACAAAGGCAGCAGCCCAGCAGTAGTGGTAACTTTTTTCTCACAGAAAAAAATCAACTGAATTTTTGTTCATAACAAGATGCAGGGAAGAAGTTTTGTACTTCTGCAGGTGAAACACTGGCACAGGTTGCCCAGAGGGGAGGTGGGTGCTCCATTCCTGGAAACATTCAGGGCCTGCTTGGGTGGGGCTCCGAGCAGCCTCTTCTAGCTGAGGGTGTTCAAGCTATTTTATAATGTTTTGCTACAGAGAAACTAAACTAGCCCGTGTTCTCAGGGTATTTATTCAGAATTAGAGCTATGACAGAGCCAAATAATCTTTCCAAAACATTCTTCAGAGCTGGAGTTTCTGTTTCTTTCTTACTCAAACACTCCTCCCCTGTGAGTTCCCTGACAGCAAGCATCTCTTCTTTCATTTTCAGAATTATTGTAGTCTGCCTGCTGTTTACAGTCACCTGCGGAGGACTCTTAAAACCAGACTTCTCACCTAACTATTTCCTTCATACTCCTTGTTCTCAGGATTTTGCTGTTTAGCTGCTCTGACCCCTTCCCTGCCCCAGTCCCAGCCTCTCACCCACAGTGTCATGAGCAGCTGCTGAGCCTGGCGCTTCTTTCATCTTCTTGCTAAAGCTCCTGCCTCTCTCTCTGTCGGGTCCTGCAGAAACAGGACAAGTCTTTATTAAAGAAAAGCCTTACACCTGACTGGGCTCTGAAAGCACAAAAATGTGTGTCAGGAGACAAGGATGGACACAGGTATCAAGTGATGGCACAACAGTTTGAAACTCGAGGCTGCTCTTGCTGGGGCACAGCTGTCCCTGCACAGGCAGCACTCCTGTGGGGGTGCAGGGAGGGTGTGTGGCTGTGCAGGCAGCATTCCTGCTGCCCTGGGACCACAGCACAGAGGGACAGAGGGATGTGGCTGCACTTGGGAGGCACCAAAGGAGCTGCTTTTGTGGCTGCTGCAGCAATGCTGGTGTCTGATAACTCTGCAGTTGTGTGTGACACGGTTACTGGTGCATTGCCCGGGATTAGCACAGTTCTGAAAGGCAGGAAACTGAGTTTGTTCCTTCATCACTGCAGTCAGAAATGAGTCACAAATACACAGTTCTGTTTAGATCCACTTTGTAGATGAACGTGATAGAAGCAAAGACAAATGTTGCTACAGGAAATAGAGTTTAGTCTAGATGGAGCACAACTATGAGCTGTTTAGTATTTGTTATGTTTGTGTTTAGTATTTATTTTAATGTGAAATCTGCTTCTTATGTGAAACATAAGCTTCCTGATTTTCTCTTAGTTTAAGAATGTTGTTTTAGTTTTGTTATGCCAACATGGTCCTGGAGTTGAGAATTCAGTGAAAGTTGGATAAATGCAGAAGAGTGATAATCCTATCTCAAACCTTTTACAGAAAAACTGATTTTGGAACTTTACAATCTGTTAAATGGCCTTCACAGAGGACACAGAACTTCCTCCAGTAATTTTAAAGATATTTTCTTGAATTTGTTGGATATTCCCTTCAGGTTACCTATGAAGAGGGCAAGGGCAAGAAAACTGCCTGTAGATTTTGTTCCTAGGGTTGAGTACATCAAGGCTGCCTGTTTATATTGAACATGTTTATTGTAGGAAGAGAAGCAATTTTGGAAACTTGCCATTTTATCTTGTGACTCTGTCTTTTATAGAATAGTGGCAAAAGAGGAAGCTGTATCCTGTCTTGTACATTTTGCAATAGTGGGGAAAGCATTTCTGACTGTGCTGTAATATGTAAATTAGCATAGCTTTATCCAAAACCCGAGCAAGTTAAGGAACTATGTTTTCCACATGATATGTGCTTATTAAAGCAAAGTATTTTATTTCTTCCTGGTAAACAGTCCTGATTAATTAAAAAATGTGAGAAGGCAGAAAATAATTGGAAGTAATTATTGTTATTTTTGTTTAACAAATGTGGCTTGTAGGAGGAAATTTATGTGGGTTTGGAAAGAACAAAAAAGATTACTGTTTTAGGAGTTTCATGCTGATGCCCAGAAGATTGAGTCAACAACTGCAGAAGCCCTAAAAGAAAGAATTGAGGAAGGAATTGAATTTCTTTGTAATTTTGTTATGAGTTCCTTCTTTTCAGGAAAAAAAGTGAAGCCTCAATTCTGCCTGGGTAATTGCTGACAGTACAAATATGTGATGGAGCTGCTTCACCCAGTGTAAAACTGTTGCAGTTTAACACACTTGTGGTCAGTTTGGGGTATCAGAGCATGGCAGGACAACTGCTACAGAGATTGAGATGTTTCTTACTGCTTTGAAAAAGTGATCAAAGCACTGAAATTCATATATCCTGAATGCAAAGAACATGGGGAAGATGGAAAGTTTGACTTAACAATTTCTTTATGAGAAGGTGCTCTGCTAGGCCTGTGGAGACGAGGGCAAGAAAATGGGTAAACATCAGTGGCATTAATTGGAATTAATTATAGAATATTCATAGTGATTTTTTAAAATTTTTTGTTTTCAAATTCTAATATGGTTTCTGCATTTCTCTTCCCTACCAGTATCCCCTTGTGTTTGGACTGATCCTGGCATTCTGCTGGTGTTCCTTGGTTTGCTGTAGTCGAATTTATATGGGAATGCATTCAATTTTGGTAAGAAAATAATCTAATCTACTACTGAACTTCTGGTTTAATCCTGTTCTGATTTAATAAACTTCCATCACATTGAAGGTTTTACAGTGCAGTAATTATATACAGATGTATTTTTGTAATGTTCTACCATACAGAAACAGAAGACTTACATTTCTTCAGCATAGAAATTGATAAAACAGCTAAAAGTGGCTCTGACCCTACTTATACTTGTCTTTTATAAACTCAGTCCATGGTTGAAACTTAACAGGTGTTGAATGTCATTTTTTAGTGCAGAAATTGAAGACTGCTCTAAAAAGTAGAGTAAATTTTCCTCTACAGAGTAGAAATCATTCTGCAGGATGAGAAAGTGGCTGTTAAGGTTCACTCCACGTCAGCTGCTCAAAGCATGTGCAGTTTGGAGTGCCACTCTACATGCTAGAGTTTCATTTACCAGAGTTTCTAAATCCAGGTAACAAAGTTGTCATCTTGGAAAACAAACTCATTTATTAAACAGATTAAAACTCCCCAAACTGAAACACAAGTGTATGCAATGTAGAAATGAGAAAACAAGAGCACTACAAGTGGTAATCACAATGCAGGACTGCTTATGAGGGTGGCTAAAGATGTTTTTGAGGATCATGTGCTAGAAGAAAAGCTAACAGACAGAAAAGGGTAAGTCTGGTAGGGAGTAGAAAAGCTGGTAGATGAACACAGTGGAAAAGGAGCATGGGAAAATAAGGCAGCTCAGAAAAACAAAATGACATTTTTGCATCAGTAGTTAGGAGTTTCCAATCTAAAACCACTCTGTCAATATGATGTGATGCACTGATAGTTCAGCTGACACAAAATGTCACAGAACAAAGTCGTGCCACAAATAGTGAGCAAGCAGGCAGAGCTGTTTTGCAGTTTCACATCTGAATCCTCTGCAGAGTTTGAGGGAATGGAGTTCACCATGTGGTGCCTGCAATGTACATCAACCACAGTGCCTGAGTTTGGGGGGAGTAGGTGGCAAATAGAGCAGAAAGGTTTTTTTTGTTGCTTCTGAAATGAGCAAGTCTGATGTTTATATCAGTCAGTTTTAGTAGAGCTTTTATCAAGCTTTCAATTAGTGGAAGCAAATAAAAATGATTCATTGAAGCTGGAGCAATACAAACCCTGCTGATTGAAGTCCCACCTCCTGGCTCATGTGGAGGAGCTGATAAGCATGAAAGTGAAGGCAGGCCACTTTGTAGTGCTTGGATTGCACAAATTCTTCCTTAACAATCAAAGGTGACAAAAGTGCAGTGAGTTCCATGCAACTGAGTGATCAGTTAACTGAAATTTAATGCTGAAGTAAAAAATCATTGGATAACCTATTCATTAAGAAAAGACCTTTAAAAACTGAAATTCAGTTAGGAAGCCACAGAAGTTATCTCTTCCTCTCCTTTAATATTTGGAAACAGTTCCCATTCTTCCAGCATTGTTAATTCTGAAGCTGCAGTGAAGGTTGAAGCTGCTCTAGTGCCTGGTGCAGTGGTCCCTGAGTGCTCACCAGCTGCTGCTGCTGCTGCCAGTGTTGGGAGTGTTGGCACCCAGGCCCTCAGAGCCTCTGCTGAGCTGTTTCAGCAAAGCTAAGTTGGCAGAACACATTTAGCTGAGCTGGATTTGTGCTGACTGTAGGTTGGAATGCCCTGGCCCTGGACAGGGATCAGTATTGCCAGCAGAAAAATCATAGAAGAATCACAGAATAGTTCTGGGTTCAAGAGACCTTTAAAGATTATCTAGTCCTAGCCCCCTGCAATAAGTAGGGACATCTTCAACCAGAACAGGCTGCTCAGAGCCTTGTCCAACCTGACCTGTATGTTTCCAGAGACAGGGCATGCACCACCTCTCTGAACAACCTGTACCAGTGCCATGTCATGCTCGTTGGGAAAAAAACCATCTTCCTTATATCCAGTCTGAATCTCCCCTTTTTAGTTTGAAACCATCACCCCTTGCCCTGTTGCAACAGGCCTTTCTAGTAAGTCCAGACCTGCAACTTCAGTGAAGGATCCTTGATTATAACTTCATTCATGATCTGGTCAGGATGCAGGTGATTTGTGATCAAATGTAATTCCTTACCTATGTTTAACATAAGAAAGAGTTTATCCTTTAAAGGTAAAAGATGGGAATCCACAAGTTGCTTTTAACACTTGTCCTGGTTTAGGGCAAATTTGTTAAAGAATCTGCAAAGGAGGGCCCCTTCCCCCAACCAGTTCGGGAAAAAATTCCTTGGAGAGAGGTGGAAAGAACCTGTTTATTTCAGGCACAGCACCCCCCAGCACACAAAATGAACAATACCAGCTGACACCGCTCTGACAAAGATGACAAAATCAGAAAGTCTCATTCGGGGGTGGTTGCTCTGTTCTCAGTCCCTCCAGCGCTGGGCCAGCTGCTGCAGCCAAACCTTCGGTGTTCCCGGGTCCCAGTCCGGAGCAGGTTTGAGATGGTCACAGGAACAGGAGAGGTGAAACAGTCCAGGAAGGGATGTGGACTGTTTAGCTAGAACTAGCTAACAAGCAGGGGCCAAAGCAGAGCAGAAGCGAGAGCAGAAAAGAGAGCAAGCAAAGCAGCAAGCAAGAAGTGAAAAACAGCCCTATGTACTGATAAGAGAAACCCAAACAAAACTTCCACTCTTCAAAGTCGGTCTTAAAGGCACAGAACAGATGAATGGGGATACAAACGTCACCCCAGGACAACACTACAGCAGCTAGGCTGGAATTCTTGTTAATGTAACTTGAGGGCTTTTTTTAAAATAGTCATAACACTGAAACGTATCTTTCTCTTCAACAGGACGTTATTGCTGGATTTCTGTATGCTATTCTTATCTTGGTTATCTTCCATCCACTTGTGGACCTGATTGACAACTTCAACTTAACTTACAAATATGCACCTTTAATTATCATCAGTATCCACCTGGCCCTGGGCATCTTCTCTTTCACCCTGGACACGTGGAGCACGTCACGGGGGGACACAGCTCAGATCCTGGGCTGCGGTGCCGGCGTGGCCTGCGGCTCCCACGTCAGCCACATGCTGGGCCTGCAGCTGGACCCTCCTGCCCACAGCCTGCCCCTGTCCCTGTCCTCCCTCACGGTGGCAGTGTTTGGGAAGGCCCTCCTGCGCCTGCTGCTCGGGGTCATGGTTCTGCTGCTGACCAAGGTGGCCATGAAGAGAGCCACGATCCCCCTGGCGTGTCGCATGTTCCGCATCCCGCGGGGCGACGTGCGCAGGGCGCGGCAGCGCATGGAGGTGGAGCTGCCCTATCGCTACATCACCTATGGAATGGTGGGCTTCTCCCTCATGGTCATTGTCCCCGGCCTCTTCCATTTCATCGGGCTTTCCTGATGCAGCCTGATCACTTGGGGAGGGAGAACTGAGCTAGTTGCTTTTTGAAGAGGTGCACTAGTTTGCTAAGGGAAGGCCGGCCAGCTGGGCTTTAGCGGAGCCTTCCTGTTAACAGCAATACAAAGCAAGCAAAGCATTTAAAGGGCTTTGCACATCTCTGGGGATGGTTTAGGGCCAGCAGTCAAGCATCAGTCCAGGAGAAGTGCTGACCTCTGTAAATGCTGTATTTTGGACTTATTGCTGTAACCAAGTCTGCGTGTGTGTGATGCAGTGAATGTATCTGGGATGGCTGCCAGGCTGTACCTGTGTACACTGACACTTCAGCAGGTGTGTCTGACAGCTGATCAGAAGGCTCCATTCATGATCTGTTTGCCATTTCACGGTAATTAATTCAAGTTGTTGGACCATAAACTGTTACATTTGCTTTCTTCTGTTCTTTCCTGAAGTCCTGCTTCAAGGTATTTCAATTAATAGGTATTTTTAATGGACCAAACTTGTAATGAGGTTGAATTTTTCTAAATAAACGAGCAAAAGCCTTTTTCTTTAGTCCCCATTGCAGAAAAAAATGTCTGGATTAGCATTGGTAGATATCACTAGAGTATATATAATTCAGGTACTGTATTTTATGGTTTAATAACTGTGCCTTTCTGTTGCTAAATTAAGAAATGCCATATATACTGTGATATAAAAATGCCTAATTTTATGGAAAATCCTACGTAATTAGGCAGATATTAAAAAATGTTAATTGTCCATGTTGCTGTCATGGTCCAAGTTAACCAGAATGTCCAGTTTTTACTGATCAAAATTGCATAAATGAAATGACCCAGGAATTGTGTCCTTGAGCTCAAGGTATTGTAAATGAACAATAGTCCCTTTTGTAAGTATTTTTAATGTGCACTGTAAGTTACTGCAAGAGGATATATTTTTCTGGAGATTGTTTATACAGTGGATGGATATTCAAAATTAATTATTTAAACATATAAACAATAAAAGTACCCCATTCTGCAAAGAAATGGGCTTCACTTATTATTCCAAACTAATCTAGAAGGACCACTGCTGTTAGGTATTTGGTTAGAAAATATTATTCTAGAAAAATCTGTATTTTTATGCATTAACAGACTATATTTAAAGGTGATGATCACTTTTACTAAATTTAGATAGTTATAAGACAATGTAACAATTAAAGTAAACTTGTAATCATTCTGATTGACAGATTGTGAGGAGTCAGGACAGTATGGTCAATGCATGAATGGTTTCTGATGTCTAAATTTGGCAGGATTTTATTATGTGCTTTTAAACTTTCATGATCCTTTTCCCTTCCAGTGTAATTTCATGTGCCTTTTTTCTGTTTCATTTTGTCTTGTTCATGTGTTGCCTGATCTGGTCTTTCCATGTCAGGAACACTGCAGGAAAGTGTCTGAGCAGACACAAATGACTGAATTTTGTATTGCACTTGTTCTGCAGGAAAAGCATCATTTGGTTGGCAAATATGGTGATTAGATAGAATACAAAGCCTACATTTTTTGTAAGCAGTATTTGGTTTTAGAAGGATTTTTGTGTTGGAGATCTCTCCAAGCTGTTAATATGGAGATTGACAAAATTAACTTCACTTTCTTTGAAGCAGATGAGGTTTATGGTACGCTGGCACTGGATGATGTGAAAAACTTCACTTTTCTGGTGCATCCTGAATGCACTGCTATGAATGTATTCAAACTGAGGTATCCAAAACTGAGAGTGTTCAACAACTTCCACAGCTGAAAAGACCTCACCCAGTAGAAAATGGTTAGCTTGTTTCAGTGTGTATTTCTGGATTTGATTTTTGTGTCTGTTCCTCTTTTGCAGTTCAATGCAGAATGTGCAGTGAAAGGTAAATTGGTTTCTGGGGTTTTGAGAGTGGGATTTCCACTGATCTGGCTTCACACACCAAGATAGCCATTAAATAAACAGCTGGGGGAACGTACACAAAATGCCTTATGCTTAAAGCCCTAAGCAAGTGGAGTAGTTTCAATTATATTTAATTAGTCTGAGGACTGTTAAAAATAATAGGATAACTTTCTCTGAAGTTTAGAGCATATTCTCCTTAAATATCCTAGCTTTACAGTTTTAGCAAAAAATGTTTAAATTCTAGCACAGAAAAGGTAAGTGAGTAAAACTAATTTTTTAAGGTACATATTGGACTTGTAGAAACTTGGAGTTTACATCATAAAGAGCATAATTAAAGCTGTATTTTCTAGCTTGCTCTCCTGTAGTATTGATGGAACATGAGATGTACTGTGGAGGATCTGGAAGGGGTGGAAAGATCACACAGAGCTTTCAACAGGCTAAGGAAAATTGCACTGTAGCTTATTCTACTGTCATAAATTTATTTTTTATATTTTTGTACAGTACATTGAGTAAGTTCAAAACATCATGTTCCATGTTCCACTCCCCAGGAAATGTCCATCAGAATGTCTGTACAGCACCTTCAGCAGCTGCTTCACTGATGTTTACATGAGAAAAAGTTCTGTTCTGTTTTCATGTTTTATAAAGGGTCAGGCTTGAGAGGGCAGTTAGCACGGAATGTCATGCAATATGAATACCTTTAGAGGATAAAGAATTACAGACATGCAAATGCTCAAAAATCCAAGTAAAGTGTTTGTATTGTTGTATAATTTTGTTTACTGATAAGCTAAAATTCCTTGGAATTGGGCATAACAAAGCAGCAGGTAAAACTGGAGCACTTTGTTTGCCCTGATCTATTCTTAGAGTTAAAAATGAGAAATATTTCTAGTGTGAGCACCAGCTGGTACCAAATTCTTTATAAATAAAGTTAACATAGCTTTAAGAGGTAGTCAAATGTCTTTCCAGCAGGAAAAATGCTTGAAAACCTTTATGGCATGGTGCAAAAACATCCTGCTAGTGAACTCCCTGGGTCCCTGAGAGAGATAGACTTCATAGAACCAGGTATGAATGCACATTTATTACAAAAAGCTGCAGGCTAAATTTGTCTTTTTAATTATTGTGTGAAATAAACCTTTAAAGCAACAGGCAGGTAGAGAGCAGTTTGACACAAAATTCTGTTTTCCAAGAGGCTGAAGAGATGCAAATTAGTCTGAGACTGCCTTAAACATAGGAGCAGGAATTTCTCTGGCCTGGCCCACACTCAGAACTGACATGTGCATCTTGGGTGAGTTTTAGAATATGTTATTTTAGAAGAAATATTTCATTTTTATAAAAAAGCATTGCTTTTGCTTTCTCCTGTGTGACCACCTGTGAAGCTGTTGGGTCTCTGAGCAGGAGGTGAGGAGTGACTTGCAGGTAAATTGGCAAACCAAAGGGACTTGGGTTTTGTTTATTTATTTGGAATCTTTTAAGGTTATGTACAGCATTTCTCCTGGAAAGAAAAACCAAACAGAAAGATGCATTTCTTTTAAAAATGGCATCTCCAAATGTGATATGTGGCTTTTGTGTTGTTTATTTTTTTTTCTTACCAGAACAGTGTTAAATTGTCTGGATATTAGAAGCTAATATGTTGTCCTTTGTTTTTTTGTTTTTTTTTTTTTAATTACTGCTCTCAGTATTTTTTACTCCATTTTTTTTGCTTATTTCTGAGAGAGTGTCCAGAACTTCTGTAAGCAATTGCTACTTATGTGAAGATTGTAATTTTGAACTTGTAAATAATTAAGGGTTGTTAGCTGCAAAAATCTATAAAAACAAATCCTTGCATGCTGTAAGTAAATACATCTGTTGTGCTAAAAGTTGTTTCTGTTTCAGTATTTGCTTTCTCAATAAAAAAATTCAGTTTTCACAGACATGACAGAAGATATTTAATACTTCAATGGTGTGAAAGGGCATTGCTGTCAAACTTTACTGGGAGTTCTGCACTTGGTTGCTTCCACAGGACACAGAATGAAGCCTGAAGGGCAAGTGCTGACCTGTGAGCAGGCTCAGTGAGTGTGAAGTGACTCAGCTGTAAATGTGACAGCCTTGCTTTTGGGTGATTCTCCTTGTTAAAATCACACTTTGCCCTGTTTTTATGAGATTCCTGAAGGGCTCAGCTTGGAAGTCCATTCTCTGTAGGTGGGAATGGCTGCACATTTCTAACACTCCCCCTCTGTACCGTAATTCTGTGAATGAAGAGACCCCAGAATAAAGTCAGTAGATAAAATGAGAGAATTGATTTCTTGGGGTGTTGTGACTCAACTTACTGTAATTGGTTCTTGAGTGGTTCTTTGGTCTGAAGTAGAAGTTTGTTGGTTATATAATTTATTTCTGTATTCTGCAAACGACTTTGAGGAAACTTAACTTTTTTGTGGGAGGAAGTTGAATGACTTCTTGCCAGACTTCATTCTGCAGGAAAGCTTAAATGGCCTTTTGTTTCAGGAAAAAAAAAAATATAAGCCTGTTTTAAAATTTACAGCAAATGATATATTTATCAAATTGATAGATGAACTGGGTCACTAACATCCTTGTTCTTGCAATACTGAACAAAGGCAATGAAAGCTGAATTTGGAAACAAAATGTCATATTGTGTGGCAGAGAGGACAAAGCACTTTAGGTGTTCTCTAAAAGGCAAGTATCACATGCTGGTTTTGAAGCAAATTTAGCCATGCTTTAGAAAAATTTCTTTGCACTCCATTCTGTACCAGAAATTATTTGCATGTTGGTAAGAAGTAAGAAAAGAAAGGAAAGCAGGGTCTGCTTGCAGTGTATGATCAGTAACTGTTCCTGTAGGATCAGAGGAGAAGAGACGGTTCATGGGATAACAGTACCTTAAAGATACTGACTAGTAAATGTAAATAATTCCCATCAGGTTGGAGAATTTTATTACTCACTGAACTTTGACTAAATTAGTCACTAAGTTTTCCCACAAGTTTATTTTTGCTAGAAAGTGTAATGAAAGATAAGAGTGATATTACTGAAATGGAAATTAGCTCTTAAGACAATTCTAGATGACTGAAGTATGAAAACTGAAAAAGATCAGTTCAGGAGCAAGTAATGGGAACAGTAAGAGTAGAGTCTGAGGGGGATTTTGTATTAAACTTAATGCACTTAAAAATTATGCCAAAATTTGGCCTACACTTGATTTGTATGAAATCTGTAGTACAATATAGGTACATATACATACAAACATTAAAAATATTGTGTATTGGAGCTTAATTTTTTTTTTATGTATAGATTTTTTCTCTGTTTACTGCATTCCCTGATAAAAGGAAGTTGATAAAATACACGCCAGCATTGTCTGTATAAGGTAAGGATGTATGTTGGTGGCCTTTTGGGAAATAATGCAGTTGTAGCCCAGTCTCTCAACCTCTTGGAGAACTTGATTTTAAAAAATCCCCAAACAATTGAGATGCAAGCCCTAGGTTGAGGATCATGTGTTTGCTGTATAATAGTGTACAACAGATGTTTTAAAAATTAATACATCAGCACTTTTACTCTTGTTAATGATTTTGTACTCATTGTACACTTCCTGAGTTGTCAATTTAGCTTATATTGACTGGTAACTGAAGTGTCTAACTTCACCTGCAGTGTGTGGGTAATAAACTCCTGTTGGATTCAGTTGTGTTACTGTCTTTATTCCTTCCAGTGCTCAGGGACAAGATTTGAGCTTGTGGATGGGTTCAAACCTCAAAACAAACCCCAAAGTTTGTTTCTGAAAGTTCTTTTCCCCTTATATTTGTTAAGGCTGATTTGATGCAGTAGCTTAGCAAACATAAGCAGAAAATGCATTCTGCTTCCGTTTCAGCTGAAAAATTACCTTGGAATATTTAACCCAGCATGGTTTTTCATCTCTCCTGGCATGCCAGTGGCCACATGTGGGTGGGAATTCCTGCTGCAGAGAGTTCAGTGCTGGTGGCTAATCAAATCTGCAACTGCCCTGGGAAGATTGCCAAAATAATACCTGTAATGAAGAATTCCTTTGCAATTGCTTACCTCATGCTGTTAGGCAAAGGGATGTAATCATGTTTGCCTCGTAAGGAATGATTAAATTATAGAACATGATGACCCAGATTTCTACTAACTTGCAAAGATTTTTGAACTGGAAATTCAGGGATGCTGTTTCCCATGCTTCACTGTGTGCAGCAGGTACTTTATCAATTTGGTTTTGGTGATTTAGTGTTTGCAGCATTATTCATGCTGTAAAGGCTCCTGATTGCTTAGTGGTTATTGCTGTGGACTGCAGTACATCAGCTGCAGATGCTGAAACTCTAAATTAAATAAAGCTTTTACTCAAATTGACACTTCCAGCTTTAAGAGTGAGAATATTTTATCTGACATTATGTTTATGGGACATAATGCTTTCTCTGATCACTTTTAATAAGATTTGAAGGTGGAAAAGTTGCTAATCTCTTTAAGACAGTGGTAAAAGCACAGAGTCAACAGCTCTGGCACTCAGAGTGATTTCCCAGAGCTGGTAATTAGCACTGCACTGTGCTTGCCTTGCAGCAGCAGCTCAGATCTTTCCTGATGCACTGGCTGTGTGTCAGTGCTGCTATTGTGTCTAGACTTCAGGCTGACTGACCTCACTAATGTACAGCTGAGAGAAAAATAATAAATGCTTCAGGCCAGGTTGGCTCTTTACACTTAGTGGCCTGTTTGGGCACCTTCTTTAAACCTCTGGTTGCTGGGTTTTTTCTTGTCAATGTAAAAAAATGATTATTTTACAATTTATATATATATATAGTTATGCAGTCACCCTGTTCTAGGATCAAGAGTTCTGGAATACACATCTGATACAGTGGCCTTGTGCTGAGCTTGGATTTTGGGGACCAGCCTTCTGTAAGGGATCTCTGTGTCAGTCTGTCTCAGTTGGGGTAAAGAGATCAGCTGCTGAAGCAAAAATAAAGATGGTACCCTCCCAACAACAACCTGTCCAGCCTGTGCAATCTGACAAATCTTCCTTCTCAAGGAATTGCCCCTCCCCAAGGGCAGTAAGCAGCAGATCTGAGCTGCTTCACAATGCATGCCTTTTGCATTCAGGAGTCTCACACGTGGGAGGGTTGGCTGAGGTCCTTGGGAAAAGCCAGCAGGAAGGCAAGGGCTCAAGCTTGGCTCCACTGTTTTGCCTCTGTACAAGCACAGAAAGAACTGAGCATGCATTGGGTGAACTGTGAACTTTGGGTGTTCCCTCTGCTACCCCTCAGGTGGGAGGAAGGCTCCTGCTTTGGTGCCCAGCTTCATCTTTTGGCTTCAGGGAGCAATCTGGAATTCTTGCCACTAACTAACTGCCAATAAATCAATCAAATTTCAATCTGTACACCCCTAGCAGGCCTGTTCAGGTATTGAGGATGACTAGGAAAACAGAAATACGTGTCTGCAGTCTGTTTTTCTATCTGAATGTGCCCAGAACATCCACTCACCTTCTTAGGGACAGCTACAGCAAACAGGGAGGCTGAGGAAGAGCCCTCAGTGCTTGGCCCAGGTTTTTGCTTTCAACAGGATCCAATATAAAATCCTAACCTGGCACCCTGTGCAGGTATGAGAAGCTGTGAGCACTGTTACCAACAGCAGCATTATTAAAATATTAAAAAATTGCTGTAGCAAAGAGATGAAAGACACATCTCTGTTACTGCAGGGTGAAGGAAGTTAGCTCAGGTTATGTGAAGTCAGGCACTGCTAACTCTGAGCTGACCTCTAAAAATGGTGTCCTTACCCAACAACTTGACTTTGCAATCAAAACTTCCTTTTATTGTACTATGTAATTAGAGTATATAATTTAATCAGCCCTTGATTTTGGTTTATTAAATGCTTATTCAGCACTAAGTGGCAATTAAGCATTGAAGTGCCTTCAGTGAATCCCAAAACCTGATTATCATCAGTCATAATAACTTTGCCTCACTTGTACATTTTGTCAAGTTCTGCAGATAGGACTGCCAAAAAATTCCAGAGAGGTTTGTGAGCTTCTCCTTATCCCCAACAGAGGAGAACTGACAAGTGAAACCAATGAGCTGTACCTTTTAGAGATGTTAAAAATAAACCCCTTTCTCCAACAAACTGCATTAACTTCTGCTACTTCAGCTGCAGGAATTTGCTGATGGAGTTGTGTTCCCTGATCCCTGGAATGTAACACTTTGTCTCCATGCACATACGAGCTAATTACTAATTACAAATCGTTACACTGAAAAAGTTGCAAGCCAAACTACACTGCCACAAAATAACCTTGGCATATTAGAAAAAAAATAAAAATAATTCCTATTCCAGACAATTTGCTGTTTGAGTTCTTGACCTCTGGCCTAGAGTACATGACGCTGAAACTCAGATTTGTTTAGACTTCAGTTGTTTTTAAGGTGAGGATCTTAAAGATTCCTTTCTCAAAAAACCTCTTATGTCTGTAAAGTAACTGTCAAGAGTTACAAGTGATCTCTGGAGCATCTGCCCTGCAATTCCTGTGGTGAAATTCACTGCTGCATCTCTACCCATGGTACCCTGTGACTCAGCAGCATTGCTGTGCTATCCAAAAAATGATATTTTCTGTTAATCCAGCTGCTCTTGTGTGGGAGTGCTGGGCACCCATGGCTGTAAACTGTGGCTTTCCAGTTGATCCTGCAGCTGTTTTTACCACGTGAACAATGAACAGAAGGTATTTGATGAATTCGTGGCAACTGCCCCGGGAAACTCAGATGAAAAACTACCAGCTGAAAATATTGTTGTAACACTGATATTTGCCATACATTCTTATAATGCATATTGTGTTCTCAGTGGAATTATCTGCCTCCTGTTTGGAAATCTACAGAACCAATCTCAGCAGTGTGAGCAGGCTTTAGTTCTGGTGACAGCTCTGGCAGGACGAGGCTTCACAAAGAGGGAAAGGTGTTCACTATGAAAACGTGAGTGTGTCATTCGGGTCTTTGTGCTTTGATGTGTCTAGATATTTTTCTATGTTCACTGCACTGTAAAAATGTCAACCAAATAACTGCTAAGGAGCAAAAATAAACAATAAAGGGGCACTTTTTCATGGCAGTTCGGTGAGCTGTGCATCTGTGACTCCTCAGGAATGCAAGTTCTAATAAACTACTTAAAATGTTGCAGAGTTATCAACAGAAAAGGGTAATCTCTGCTCACAGAGATAATTGCACTGGTAGAACACAAATACATGCATAATTTATAAGTAGAAACAGTAAAAATAAGTTTTACTGGAGCATGTAGATTTAAAATACTGCACACAGCTAGCTTCAGACTGATGAAATTGTTAGTATTGTGAAGTCTTTTGATTGACTTTCTGCTTTAAGGTGGCATTAGACTGAACTACAAAGTGTGTTTTTATACTGCTCTATGGTCATTGTCCATGTAACTTGACCATGCCATTGGGTTTAGCTAAAGCCTTTTTTATCTTGCTAGAACAATACATAGCTCAAATTCTTAGATTTTTATTTTTAAAAATGAGTTCAAGTACAAACTTGGCTAATGAAAATATTTCTATGTTTAAAAAAAGTCTTGAAATAATTTATTTGCCCATTATATTGGTAATATGATATAATATGATTCAATAATTTATTTCTACATGATGTTGGTAATATCATATGGTCTTTTCTGATAAATATGCATTTATCAGAAAAGACCATATATGTGATTTTAACTGCTGTGAAAATAAAGGTACAAATTCTTTTCCTCACTGAATAACATCCATCCATCCAAGGCTGTGGATTAATGCTACTCATCAGTGCTGCACAGTAAATTCAGAGTAGAACAAGGAATTGTGAATTACAAAGCTTGGGGCAATATAAATAAAACATTAAAAGAAGCAAATGTTTAGTTATGCCATATTCCTTTTCATAGCACAGCCTGGATGTGTTAGCCTGGTAATTGGTAAATAAGAAAAGGAGAAAAATACTGTCTGGCAGTTTAACTGGAAAAAAAATAAAAAGGATCTGGGAAAATCTAATTAACCTTCTTGTCCTTTTTCGCGTTTGGGTCCCTCCTAGGAAATAATCCTCCGTGTTCCTGCTCTCCCGGAGGGCGCACTCCGTGTGTCCCCCGCAGCCATTCCCGCTTTCCGTACCCGTTCCCTGACGGGGCGCTCCAACCCCGCCACGGCCGAGCGCAGCCGCGACCCGCCCCGGGGCGGGGCTCCCCTGCGCGAGCCAATCAGACAGCGCCGGTTGCAGGATGGCCCCGCCCCCCCACCTTTACACCAATCCCCTTCCTGTGCGTCGTTTCCTTCCCCCGCCTCCATAAGCGGAAGATGGCGGCCACTGCAGCCAATGGGGCGGCGGGGGCGGGGCTGGTGGCGGCGGCGGCGCGGGGCGCACGCGGCGGCCGGGGCGGCTCTGAGGGACCGGGACCGGGACACAGCCGGGATAAGGAACACCGGCAGGGACAGGGATAAGGATCCGGTAGGGAGCACCAGCGGGGACAGGGACACGGCCGGGATAAGGATCCGGGTGAGGAACACCGGCAGGACAGGAACCGGGACACGGCCGGGATAAGGAACACCGGCAAGGACAGGGACCGGGACAAGGAACACCGGCAAGGACAGGGATCCCATGGAGCGGCCGGAATAAGGATCCGGGTGAGGAACACAGGCAGGGACAGGAACAGGGATAAGGATCGGGATAAGGAACACCGGCAGGGACAGGGATAAAGATTCGGGTAAGGAGCACCGGCAGGAACAGGGATAAGGAATACCGGCAGGGATCCGGGATACGGCCGGGATAAGGAATACCGGCAGGGACAGGGATAAGGATCCCGGTAAGGAACACCGGCAGGGACAGGTACAGGGACCGGGATAAGGAACACCGGCAGGGACAGGGATCCCATGGAGCGGCCGGGATAAGGATCGGGATAAGGGACACCCGCAGGGACAGGAATAAAGATCCGGGTGAGGGACACCGGCCGGGATAAGGATCCTGGTAACGAACACCGGCAGGAACAGGGATAAGTATCGGGATAAGGAACACCGGCAGGGACAGGGATCGGGATAAGGATCCAATAGGGAACACCGGCAGGGACAGGGATAAGGATCCCGGTAAGGAACACCGGCAGGGACAGGCTGCCCAGGGCAGTGGTGGAATCACCGTCCCCTGGAAGTGTCCAGAACCATCTGGATGTGGTGCCTGGGGACACGGTTTGGTGGTGGCATTGGCAGTGCTGGGTTCATGTCCGGACTGGATCATAAATGTCTTCTTCAGCATTTTCACCCTAATGATTTGTGATTTAATGAAATACATGGATAAGGAAGTTGTGCTGTAAGCACCAGCTGATCTCACCCAGGTTTGGTGCAGATGGGAATCTTTATTAATGATAGTGACAGTCTGAAACAACAACAAAAAAAAAAAAACCCATAGCCAGACAAATCTGGAAAAGGTCAGAAGAAGAAATGAAAGTTGCAGTTTGGGGATTTTTTTGTTTGGTAGTTTTACTTCTTTGGGGAAAAAAGGAAAACAAACTTTTCTATGGTTTTGGATATAAAAGTAGTTACAGAAATTACTGCCAAAGCTGTGATAGCCATATCCTAAACTTTTATATAATCAACAGATATCCTTTAGTATGCTGTGTTACAGAATTAACTTTTCCTACAAGATACAGGGAGTGGAATTGTCAATTCTGTGTTTTGTTACTGGCTCATATTGGCCATAATCCTATAGTTCTAGATTAATTTTTCCTAGACATGTGTTACATATTTGAAAGAATGCAGAAACACAAGCTCATTTCTTAGTATGCTGATTTTTAGGTCTGTAAGAACTTTGTTCTCAGAACTAAGTTATGTTAATACCTTTTATTTCCTCATGTTTTCAGTGGGTTTCCTGTTTGAGAGAATAATCAGATTCAGTGAAGTGTGTGTGCAGAGCAGCCCCTGAAGATAATTGTCCCTGTCAGCAGAATAATTAAACAGGTTTGTGTTCGTGTGAATTCCATGGTTTCTAGGTGCTAAACGTGGTGCTGGTTTAAAGTTTGCATGTTGGTTTTTGTTTGTTTCAAGACAAAACACATTTGGAGGAAAACACAAACAGGTGTAGCAGTTCCAGACCTTGTGGAAATAAATATATTAATTTTTTTTCCACATAAAGGTTCTTCTGTGCATGGATTGATGATGTTCAAGTGGCTTAAAATATTTTTTAAAAAAGAGCATGGAATGATAGAATGATTTGGATTGAAAGGGACCTGAAATCACCTCATTCCAACCCCCTGCCATGGGCAGGACACCTTCCACCACGTTACTCCAAGCCTTATCCAGCCTTGAACATTCCTTGGGATGGGGCAGCCACAGCTGCTCTGTGCCAGGGCATCACCACCCTCACAGGGAGGAATTTCTTCTTGTCCTCTGTCAGTTTAAATCCATTCCCCCTTGTCCTGAAACTACATGCCCTTGTAAATTGTCTCTCTCATCTTTCTTGCAGGCTCCCTTCAGGTTCTGGAAGGCTGCAATTACATCACCCCAAAGTTTTCTCTTTTCCAGGCTGAACAATCCCAATTCTCTCAACCTTTCAAGATGAATTTTTTTTAAATGTTCTTTTCTTTCACTGCATCATTTTTGCAGGGCAGCCCTGGGGTCTGGGCTGTACCTGGCTGCGTGGGAGCTCTCCTGAGAGACCAGATGGTTGTTGCCTGCTGGCAGCATTCTCCAGCTTTGTTGTGCTTTTTACTGGAAGTATAAAAAAAATAATGGTATTTCCAAGCTTTTCTGGGGAAAAAAAAACAAAAAAAAAAAAGGGGGAAAACAGAAGGAAATCAGCGCTACCATGCTGCTCAGCTGTGTTCATCTGTGTTGATACCAAGCTGCCTCTGCAGACAGTCTAAGAGTTGGGTTTATTTGGTGAGTGAAAGGATGGTTTTTATGGGGCTCAGCTTCTCCTGTGTGAGGACAAGCCCATTAGTGGCTTTCACACCAGACATTTAAAAGAAGCATTGAGAATTGTGAATCAGGGTCTTGGCAAGGTTTGGAGAGTGCTTTTGCACTCTGGAGCAGTTCAGGTGCAAGATGGGCAATGGAGGATATAAGAAAAGCAGAAAAGAGCATATTGCCCAATCCCTTGTGGGGTTAGGAAACTGAACCTCAAACAAACATGCCTTTGCCCTCCTCAGGGACCTCCACCCTGACCCACCACCCACTTCTCCCTCAGCTCTTCCCCTTCTCATGTCCCTGCTACTGTCCCCTTTCCTTCAACAGAGGAGTTAAACACAAAAGAGTTGCATGAATTCTTGCCCGTGCATTTTCCTCTCTTATTTCCAAAATTAAAGTAAAATGATCGTTTTGCTGTATTGTTTATAACCTTTCTTGCAATTGCTTTATTTCTCCAGCAAAATCTTAAATTTTTTGTGTTTCTAACTGATTAACAACTTTTCACCTGCACCTCTCTGCAGCTCACTACCTTAGCTCACACTCTCACCATACTGAGATCTTTTTTCCCCCCTGCCTCTTATTTCAAGGCAAAACCTTGCTCAGCTTCTCATTAAAAATAAGATACAAAAGTGCTGTGCAATTGGTGAGCAGTTAAATTGGTGAGAAGACAGCCCAGCATTTAATTAAAATTGGCAAACTGGAGTTGTGTGCTGGCAGCACCTGGAATAGGAAGCTTCAGGTATTGTTCACTTTTCAGTAATTTGAGGATCTTTTCATAATAATAATTTGTGTATCTTTGTTGCTATGGGAATGAGTGGGAGAGCTGGAATTAAGTGTTATTACTCCTTTGTGCAATCAGAAGGGACAAGCCGCTGTGAAAGCAAAATTTCTTGTTTAGAAACATACAGCTCTTAGTAGCAATTCTAACTGACTTCAGTTTTTATGCAGTTCATGAAGGAGTTTTTTGAGGTAAGAGGATTTGATTTTAGTTTATTCAATGTCTGCCAGGATATATAAGGAAATACACAACTCAGCTTGGAAAGGGAGAAAAACAGATTTGAAGAAAAGTTAATTTTAGTGGTTTAATGTCTTGGGCAGCTATTACTTTGTATGTGCATTGAACACTCCTGCTTCAGGAATGTTTGTGGAGAGTGGAATGAGGTTGAGGGTGAGAGAGGAAGGGTTTTGTAGATGCTGGGTTTGGTTTGTTGATCCCTCTTCCCTAGGAAATGTGAGTGATGGGTGTTCGGACTCAGCATTTGCTGGATGCTACAAGAGCAAATACAAATGCACACAGGTCAGTCATTTTCTGTGTTTATGTGTGCCTTGCATGGACATATGAGCTGCATCTGGTATGAAGTCTGAATGATGCAAATCCAAATCAGACTTTATTAAAGAACTTGTATATTTTTAACCTCTGATGGTTCACAAAGAAAAGTTGTGGCGTAGTTGAATTTGGTTGGGTTTTTTTCCCTTCCGTTTTTCGTGCTAGGCAGTTCCAAGCGAAGGCTGTGATTTTTGATTAATGGTCTGATTTGAGGAACGGGGGCTTTTAAAAGGAAGAAGAAAAATCCCGGTGCTTTATTAACTCCCGGTTAATTATTATTGTGTCGGTAAATCGCGGTGCCGCTCTGGGGCGGTCACTGGCGACACCCGGTGGCCGGGAGCGGAATGACAGCCCCAGGGCTCTGGCCCCGATTTTTGGGCTTTTCCCCCCAAACCCTGGGCTTTAGGTGTGGCTGTTTGCTCAGCTCCTTGGGCTGCTGTCCCACAGCTCCAGCAGCGTGCAGAGGAGGCCACCTGAACCTGGAACCTCTGTGCACACACATGGCCTCTTACTAAATTCCTAATGCTGCTTTGGAAACTACGGGCTGAGCAAAAAATGTGTCTTGCTGTTGTCTGCCTGGCACTGTGGTGTCTTCCAGAAGGGAATCATGAGCCAGCTTATCTCAGAGTTGCTTGTTTCTCAGTCTGCCTTCCTATTTGGGTTCTTTGCTGTGCAAGGACAGTGCTGGGTGCCAGCCTGGCGGGGTTATAAAAGCAGATGGAGGCAGTTAAAGTTTTTACCCTCACTGTTAATAACTGGGAAATATTTTGTAAGATAAACTTTATGATTTCTGCTCCATATTTTATTTATGGTCAGTTTGTACTCTTAAACTCTTGTGCCAGTATTGTTCTTGAGTAGCTCCCCTCCCTCCCCAGCATTAATTCCTTTGATGTATTTGTAGATAGTAATAATTGTATCCCCTTCAGTCTCTGTCTTTGCCAAGCTACACAAGGCAAAGCATCCAGCTACTTCTTGTGGAATAAACATTCCATTACCTGCAGCATCTCACCCTTCCTTCTCTGCCCTCAGCAAAGTTCACTGCTGGGAGCCTGCTATGACCCTGTGAAATGTGGATTTACTTCAGCATTGAGAACAAACATGGCTTGAGAGCAGGGTGATTAAAATGCAAAAAGCTCTTGGCTTTGCTTTTTATCCCTGCATTATTTTGGGCAGCAGGCTGCTGAAGATGTTGGAAAGGTGTTTGTGGATCTCAGACAAGTAAATTCCCCACCTAGGTCTTCAGGATTTGTGGGTCCTAACAAAAACTTGGGAGTTCTGGTTTTGCCAGCAGGGATTGTCTGTGCTGCTGCATTCAGCAGATCTCTTGATCAGAAAATCTGGAGTATCAATACCTGCACACTTTCTCCTTTGTCCTTCCTTTTCATTATTTTATTTCTTGTGACTGAGTCCTAAATCACTTAAAGAGTGAAAAAACAGTTGAATGTGAACTTCCAGTGGAGTATGGAAGATCACTGTGCATTTGAGTGTCATGAAAAGTAAAAGCTGATTTTTTAAAAAAATCTTTTATGACATTGGTGAAGCTGCTGCTGGAGCTCCACGTATGGTTGGTTCCCTGTCTAAAGGCTCCTGAAAAAAAAGAGCTGAAGAAAGTGCCTTGCATGGCCTCAATGTCCACATCCTCCATGCCTTAGCATCTTTTGTGGAGATTCAAAAGTAAATTCTCCTGATCAGGATGAAGGCAACACAGCTCTGAAACCGTTTATTTCAGCCTCTTCCATCTTCCTGTTGTCACTTAGATGACATCTTTTCGTTTTGTCTGCTACAAAGCATTGAAGATTGAGCTTAGGGCATGATAAAGATTCAGCAGAGCCTCCAGCTGTCAGACTATGCACAAAGAGCGTGTTTTGGAAACTGATAGTCTGTGAACTGCCATGGGCACACAGGGATCTCAGGTTTCTCTTGTTGCTTTGAAACTGGAGAGGGTCTGACAAATTACCTTGACGTGGGGATGTTCTGGAGCAGCTAAATATAAAAAAAAATGGATGTTGTGGGATGTGACTGGCAAAGACACTTTAGTGATCTGCAAGTTCTGGGGAAGAAGATGAGGAAAATGAGGAGAAGTCGTTTTCCCTGCTTGGGCTTGGCAGATGTTTGTGCCTGTGCAACACATCTGGAACTGCAGAGAATTGCTTGGGCGGTGATATTATGTGACCGTGTTCACAGGGTTCTTAGATGAGGGAAGAGATGAGGATCTGACTCCATGTTTCAGAAGGCTTGATTATTTTATGATATATATTACATTAAAACTATACTAAAAGAATAGAAGAAAGGATTTCATCAGAAGGCTGGCTGAGAATAGAATAGCAAAGAATGATAACAAAGGTTTGTGACTCAGAGACTCTGTCCGAGCCAGCTGTGCTGTGATTGGCCATTAATTAGAAACAACCACATGAGACCAATCCCAGATGCACCTGTTGCATTCCACAGCAGCAGATAACCATTGTTTACATTTTGTTCCTGAGGCCTCCCAGCTTCTCAGGAGGAAAAATCCTAAGGAAAGGATTTTTCAGAAAAGATGCCTGTGACAATGTTAGAGTGGGGCTGAGAATTACCAAGCACACAAATGCTGTTTGTCTTGTATTCCCCTACATCTGCATTGAAGGAGAATCTTCTCACCTGTTCAGCAGTGACTGATGTAAGCTTGGGTTGTTAAGAAAAGAGTCCTGAAAACATAATAGTTTGTGTTTTGAAGAATGAGCTCTGA